TTACTGTGTAGCCGTTAATCTTACAACTTCTGCCGCAGACAGTCTGAGTTCTCTAAACATTTCACGAAACAAACCCATTAAGAACTGTGTAGCAGCTTTCAAGAGGTAAAGAACCCCTACATTATGCACTGGGAGGGAGTGAACAAAACACATAGTTGACACATTATGTGCACAGTCAACTCACGTTCAAATGATGGACAGTACATTAGTCACCAGCCTATTTTGAAAATGATCTGTGCTCCTTGAATTTCACTTGAACTAGTAAGTACTACAGGAATGCCTTATTCTAATTCAGTACATGCATTTTCATAGTAATAAACTAATTCTGTTATTACCTGTACGTTATGAGTAGGGTTTATGATACTGAAGTCAACATAAAATTAACTCAAAATGAGGGAGAGACAAAATTTCAGTATTCTCTGCTGAAGACTACAGAACAAATCTGAAGTTGCCAATTGCTGAATCAAATGATTTCAATATTCCCTGACACAGACTAAGCAGAGAGAAAAGAAATTCTACAGCTATTCCCTGAAATTGTTGAAGTCAAATACAACTGTATTTCAGAGTTGACCTATAGGCATCGAAATGAGATAGCTTCTAAAGAGAGGGCAACTGTAATCCAACAGTTACTGATGGTCAATAAACATAAAACCTAACAATGCCATTTCAGTGCAAATGCTTCTCAAACTGGAATGCAATTAAACCAGTTGTATTGACATTTATGTCCATTTAAAGGACATAAACACAAGCCAAAGAAGGTAAATGTGAATGTTTGTGCTGATTAACCTTTTATCAGCTGTTATCTTTTTCTTTGCCAATTTTCTTGTATGCAGTAAAGTCTTCCCATATTAATATTGAAATCATATACTGAATCTGTTATTCTATCAATATGCAAATGAAAAGAGAAAGACATGAAAGATGTAAAGTTTGAACTCAGTATGGATTTAGCTGCTTCACTGTAAATTACTTCTTAGCCAAGCCTTCTTATCCCTGATTCCTTCACTGCAGCCAACATATTTCATCATAATCTCATAAGAATGAGCCAATAAAGGTCATGAGTCCAGAAAGACAACAGAAAGTTTGATAAGAGGTTCTAAAGATGCACATACAATATGGAAATACTAGCTCAGGACCTGAAAACGGGTCTACCTTGACAATACTACTTCCAGTTCAGGACATATGTGTCTAAACCACAGCCAACTGAGCACTGCCTAACGGAAGTATGTTCACATTTACCTCAGCTATGAACTGTAGCAAGCTCATAATACAAACCTAACAAGAGTTTTGATGAAACAGAATTTGTTTAAATAACCATCTTGTATTGGTTCCTAACAGTACGTCACCATGTGGTTTCTCACTATATTCAATGATATATAAAATGCAAGATATACCACCACTAGAAATCAGTAGAAAAGCATAGATGATTAAAAGTCAGACACATGCAGAAAACATGAAGAGAAAAGCCTGAGAAGGAAGAAAACAAAGTAATAAACACAGATCCTATGTGAAATCAAGAGCTCACAGTCATAATCTGAACACTAGAACTCACATGGTACCACTGCATAGCAGTGTGTGCTCATTTCGAGAGGTAAAAATTTTAGCACTGCATAATTTTAAACAGTAAAGACAAATTTGTCCCTTCATTTTTATTTTTAAATTGCTCAAAACACAAAGATTTGTGGTGTATAAAGCCCATTTTGAATAGGCTGCTTAATTAGTTCTGCAAGTCTAATATATCAGCTGCCTCAGGATCTGGACAGCAGCCAAGCATCCCAAGTTCAACACATACAGTAGCTCTATCTGTTCTTTATCCTAACACAGAAGGACTAAAGCTATTACAACCTGAAGTTACCACTAATGTATCTTTCATAAAGTTTACTTTGGGCTTCTTCAGCCTGGAGAAAGAAGCCTTTGGGGAGACCTTAGGGCAGTCTTCCAGTGCCTAAAGGTGGCTGACAAGAATGCTAGAGGGGGACTTTTTACAAGGGCATGTGGGGATAGGACACAAGAGAATGGTTTTAAACTGAGGGTAGATTTAGATTAAATATTTAGAATTAGTTCCTTACTGTTAAGGTGGTGAGGCACTGGAATGGGTTGCCCAAGGAAGTGGTAAAAGGTCCATCCCTGGCAGTGTTCAGGGCCAGGTTGGACAAATCCTTGGGTGATGTGGTCTACTGAAAGGTGTCCCTGCACATGACGGGGGGGTGGAACTGGATGATCCTTAAGGCCCTTTCCAACCCAAACCATTTTATGATTCTATGACAAAAACTCTCCCCCACCTATTAAAGCTATTAAAAGAGCAGATCAGTACTTCAAGACATTCTGGACTGAGAAGTACTCAGTGGGTTTTTTTGTTCTTGTTTTGTTTTTAAACACACTTCAATAGCCTGATGTGAAAAGTTCAGGACAGCTGGTTATTTTTTTGGCAGTATATTCATAAATACAGCAAGTTATTATTCTGTTTCTCCTTAAACAGGAGAGATACCACATGAATTCAGTAATGATATCACACAGGTACTGGCACTTTATTCTATCAAATGTCTTCACAGGGGAAGCTGTGGTAAAACTTGAATTTTACAAAAGCTTAATTTTAAACATGCCCATGCTGAGATGATTCCCAATAGCTCAGTGAATAGAGAGGCATTTAGTGTCAAGTAAAGCTGGAACAGCTTGCTAGGATCTTTGGAAACTAAATAGAACAGCTCAAATTTATATAAAGGCATAATTTCTTTATGCATTCTTTAAAAAAGAAATAATCATCCAGTCACTCAATTTCTTTCTGTTCACTTTCTCACAAGAATAAGTGGTAAAAATATTCCTGAAAGGTGAATTTGGGACTCCCGTACCTTAAATACTTGTCAAAAGCAAACTTACAATTACATTATCAATTTAGATAAAATCCTTTTATACCACAGAAGATGACAAAGAATTCCTGTAATTAACCATTACAGTTTTAAATATTAATGCAAAAATGTCAAATATTCACACAGCATTGGCTGTTGGCTTTTCACAAATGAGAAAAGATTTGCAAACCACTGTAATGAAGAATTACAGATTTATATATTATTTCACCAAACAGTAATGTTTCAAGTATTAGTGTAGTGGGTTAAAACTTAAACAGGGGAGATTCAGGTTAGATGTAAGGAAAAAGTTCTTTACTGTGAGGGTGGCGAGGCACTGGAACAGGTTGCCCAAGGAAGTACTGAATGCTGCATCCCTGGCAGTGTTCAAGGCCAGGTTGGACAGAGCCTTGGGTGACATGGTTTACTGTTAGGTGTCCCTGCCCACAGCAGATGGGTTGGAACTTGATGATCTTAAGGTCCTTTCCAGCCCAAACCATTCTATGATTCTATGACCATGTATTCATTCTAACTGATCTGCCCATCATGACTTGAAGGTGATCTATTGGTCCCATATATTTAAAGAACAGCTTTACTGTACATGAACACAGTTACAAAGCTATTTGCATCACTGATTTTAAAAAAATAAATTAAAAAAAAAACAAAAAATCAAACCAAAACCAACCAAAACTGTCTGCTGCCCTAGAAATTTACATCAAGATGCTCTTACTGTACCTTAATTACATACTCACTACTAGTTGCCACCTCTAAATAGTGTGACTTGTACACTTGTACAAAATTTAATTTGTAACTATTCAGAAACACCAGATGGAGGAAAAAAAAAAAATATTGCTTCTTTACAAAATCTTGGCAAATCAGTATACTCCTTTGAAAATGTTTACTACTATCCATTACCTGATCCCAAAGGACAAACCTAGAGAAACCCTTATTAAGTTTTCAACCCTATTCTATTATAAATATTTAGCATCATGGGAATACTCAGAATTTTACTCCCTATTTTGCTCTGGAGATATCACCTAAAGGGACTGTTTCTCTTTAAGTGTATTGAATAATGAAACACTGACATGTTTTCTTAAGCAGTATGTTCCATGTAAAGAAATTATGGGTTTTTTCATCAATTCATGTTTGTCTTGATTTGTACACTGGTTGTCACGCTCTGCATAATCTGTTTCAATCTATATATAGCAGACAAATAGGGAACGATGAAATTCTAAACTGTTGTTTTCATGAGAAAATAACTTATCTTGCAATTCTGCACTATCAACAAAACATTCACTTTAAAGACCTGGCAAGTGTAAGATTAGCTGTTATAGTATTACAGGGTTTGAGCAATAAAATACTGTAACATATGGCAAGCCAAACCACTAAGAAACAACACTTAATATTGAAGGAGGCCAAGTAAACAGCATCTTTTATAAAATATTAAAAAAAAAGAAAAATTCCATCAATGGTTATTGTAATAAATGTGCTAGATATTATCATTTCAATTATCATTTCAGCTTCAGTTCACACCAGTAACAAGGTTGTTCTAGACATATAAAACCTGTTTTTATTCCTCTCCAATTCTTCTCCCTAATCACTCCATAGGCAAGGACTGAATACATAATATTCACTATGGCAAGCAGAGACCAAAATTTTCAAGCTTACATACCTCACACTGGACAACTATATCCATTGCTTGTCATCAGAATTAAGAACTGGATTGCCAATGAATTGGGCACTTGTGTTATCACTCCACCAGAATCAGAGAATTTAAGCTATTTCACTGCAGTAGCTTTCTCTTTGGTACCCAGGAAATTGCCTGGTAACTTCTACCTTCGGAACAATGTTTTTCATACCATAGACCCTGTAGCCAGAAATAAATCAACCTGACTCACATGCAGTCTTATAGGAAAGCTAAAAAAAAACTAATAAAGTTATATCAAATCACTTGCTTTGACTAGCAAATATACAAATTCTGCTCATAAAAAATAGCACAGAGGTAGTCATCAGGTTACTATTCTACATTGTACGATAGCCACTGTAAACTGGTGAGACAGATTTTATGTATGGTATCAACCACTCACTCCCAGGGTTTTGCAGTTACGTTAATGAAAGATTAACAGCAGGCACTAATACAAGTATCATGACTCTTTTCAGGCAGTAGGTGAAACCTTGAAGAAAAAGTGGCTCTGTCTTCACAAAAGTGACCTGACCTTTGCTTTGGTGGGTTTTTACTCTGCAAGAAATAAAAAGCACTGCATGCTTTCCAATGCATCCTTTCTAGTTGATAAACTATTTTGTTCTAGCACTCAGCACAAAAGGACTACATTTTCTAAAGATCAAATAGCATGTTATTAGTGCTAGCTAAGGATAGCTCCATGCGTCATACTAGAAACAAACTTCATAGACCTGGAATGTCACATAAATCATGAACAAACAAAATATGTAATTGGCCAAGAACCTTTGATATGGTTACCAATTAGAAGTAATTCCCATTGAATTAAATATACTTAATTTTACAGTGACTCTGCAGTTCTTTGGATATCAAAGGCATCACAAATCCAGCATGCTTATCTTTTATGACACTTCTGCTCTGAAAATTTCTTGCAGCATGCAAAGAACTCTGTAGGGTAACTGTGATGTGTTGCACAAGCAAGCTAACCTAAGATTAACTTGACTATTAATAAAATTCCTTCAAAACCCACAATAGTATGTAATGGTTTTACCTGCAACCGATTAAATGTTTCTGAAACAACTTGTAGTTCAGTGCAAGCAATAGGGGATACTTTCATTGGACACAGAATACCGTGATAGTGAAAGTAGTTCTAGTATATGATGTGGTAGCAAAGAACCCCTTCTGTTAATGGACTTATAAAGTATTTAAATATATTAAGTTTAGTGGAAACTGTTGCTTTTATGGAGCCAGATCCTGCAGTCTTTGCACAGCTAAAACTTCCATGGAAATTTGCACAGCTAAAACTTCCATGGAAATCAACAGGAGCTTTTATAGTATAATAGTAAGGACACGCCCAGTGTCAGTAACATAATACAGTTCTGCTGCTATGCTTTTTGTGCATGCTCAGACTATCTCCGTCACTTGCAAGAGCTCAAAATACAGAAATTTGAGTGAAATCAAGAATATAAATACCCTTTTTATATAAAAATTATAGCTTAAAAGGGAGCATGGCACAATGGTATTGCATTTTTCTTTGGCTAAAATATTAAATAATGTTGAAATATTTTGTCTTGAATATTTATAATGTATTAAGTGAATTTAAAGTGAAGTTTAAAAATAAAAAAAAAAAATCCTTATATTAAATTCAACACCATTGACCATTTTGGGGAGAACTGTGACAATGGCTATGATGGCAGAATTTGGCTCCGTATATTGTTAGCAAAAATAAACCCCAGACTGTTTATATGATGCAAATTGCTTTTTAAGATGTTACTAGAGCTATAACCACTGCAGGCCCAGGCTTATACATTCGAGGTTCATGGAGAGTTTGCCTCAGTGAACTACAAGGAACTGTGCTTTATTTGCAAATTCAGCTCAGTGATGGTTTTTACAGAAAAATAAATAGAAAACTACATAAATAACACCCAAACAAACCCAGGCATTTCAGATATAAACGCTTGGGTAACTAAAATTACCTGAGGGAACCGATCCTGATATGGATCTCATATGGAGACCATACTCTGCAGGAGGTCCAAAGCCTTGGGCTGGCGCTGGAGTATTTCCAGCAGGTCTAGCCACAGCACGGCACTGCTGTGTTCCTAGTGACTTCACTGGGGCAACTCTGACACAGCCACAAGGCCATGGCTAGGCCCCTCCCACGCTGTTAACTGCCAGGTTCGCGGATGATTTATCACTGTTACCATTTTCGAACGGTGTTTGTGTATTCTACTTTCAACCACGCTTTGGTTCCAGCCGCCAACGCCTGGTCGGTTCTGGGGTGTGTTGGGACGCGGTGGTTGCTCGGCTCGCTGCTGACTCGCGCCATTGTTGATTTCGCTGTTGTAGGGGAAAGGCGCCAGGGCGGCAGATAAGGCTGTTGCCATGGTGATGAAGGAGATTCCGAGGGAGGAGTCTGCAGAGGAAAAGCCCCTCCTTACTATGGCATCACAGGTGGGCGGAGCGCGGGGTCCGAGCAGGCCGGGGAGCGGCTGGCGGCCGGGCCCGGCGTACGGGGGAGGCCGAGCAGCTGCGGGAGACACGGCTAGGGGGAACCTCACCCGCTCCTCGGCTTCCCCGTGCCTAAGGGCAGCTGCGGCAGGCCGGGCTGAACCCCCTGCCCGAGGAGCTCGCACCAGCGGCACCAAGTTTCCTCACCAACGCGGGGGAAATAGCGTGGTGTAGACGGTGCAGTCACTTGGGGGTTAGATGTTTTGACTTGAAAATTTAAACTGAAATGCATTTTTTCCCCAAATAAAGGGGTCTGTAAAAAGTACAGTGTATGTTACTTACCAGAAAGTTGTTTGCAACCAGTTTAAGATTTCAGTTACAATTCATGCCATCGGTATTCACACCACAAATACTTGCAGTGCAAATATAGTACTCAATACATATATAAAATAAACAACCACTTCACAATAGGTCATTTTCAGTATCTCAGGTCCCATCCCTAAGCTCTCACTGCAATTCTACTCCTGGTCCAGGTCAAATGTTAATTTTGCGCACCTCATTGCTTTCAATCCCCCAGCTCAGTTCAAAAGAAGGACGTAATGTCACAGCACCAGACCTTGCACCTGGGAGCAGCCATTGAACCTTACGTGGTTTCATTGGTTTCTTTGAAGACCGTGACTGAGCACTACCATAACACACACCACTTCCATCTTACTACAAGAATGGATTTTATTTCCTTCCATCACTCACATACATTAATTTGTTCCCCAAGCAAATGCGTTTAGTTTACCATCGATACTTAGTGCACACAAGTTGTTGTTCCTACTCATCAGGACATTTAATGGTAGTAATCTGAACACATAATTGTTTTTATGTGAGAGCCTTCAACAAAACCCACAATCCTATTTTATTCCTTTCATGTTTTAGGACTACAGCTATCATACACTTCTCTTACGGAGCATCACAGATGCCCAGCACTAATATTACACATACATATTATTTCTAATGTTACACACACACATAGAAATATCATCTACTCCTTTGGAAACCAGGTCTGGCAATCTCCTTATCAGCCCCTGTTGGAGACCATACATTGCTTGTGGTGAGCTCTAATGCCTACAAAGCAATTGCACAAAGGAAAAAGATGCTCCTTTTGAGGCATCATTTCTAATTTTCTAAGTGATTAGCAAACAATTAGAAACCAACAGAAAATGTTGCTCCTTCTACCCCACACTCCCCCTACAAAAAACTGCAAAATTTCCATTGGCTTCAACAGGGACAGGAGTTCAGCCTGGGTTCATTAAATGTTTAATGCACTATTTGTGGTCTTTGTCCGTCAGTCTACTCAGCAACAGTCTTATGATAAACTGATTAGTAAAATGCTTGTATCTGTTAGTCAGTGTAATTTCTTCCACTAAACACAAATACCTACTTCCCTGCTATGCACCAAAGGGGTGCAGAAGCCAAAAGGAAGCAGAATCAAGTGAAAAAGTGAGTATTTCCCATAGCCATCTCTGCATCATGTATGTGTGATGTGCAGTTATACTATCATATTGCATACATCATTTGTATCTTAATTGTCTGGCTGTAACGTTTTGAGATGCTGTCTCTTCAGTGTATCAGTGTAAACCTTTCTCCGAGACCATTCATTCAGAACAATGCACTGCTATCTTGTGATACACATTTAACCATTACCAAAGTGTTTGTCCCTGCTCTTTACATGATGAAACAGATGGATGTGGTTGCTGCTCACAGGGTAAAACATGCAGGCTCCAAATTGGCTGCAAAACCCCCAAGCCAGACTAAATTGGAACATGAGAGTAGGGCCCAGTCTTTCCAAAGTTACCACCAAACCATTATGGGTCTGTCTTAGGAAGTAATTGTTTATGTTCGGTATCTATGTTGCTCCATTGCTGCAGTTAACTAAGCAAGAAAAATGGATGTAAAATGCAGGGATCGAGCCCAGATAGAGGAGCACAGGCTATTCTAAAAATAAAAATAAGTCTTAAAGAACAAAAACACTAAAAAAACTGAAATCTCTCATTTCCAAAAGCCTTGATGAATAGGTTAACCATGTCTGATCAGAAGCAGACTCCACAGGAAGCGCAAGTGTAACCTGATACACAAAAGTCCTCATTTTGAGAGTAACAGTGTACTGAGACCCCTGAGTTTGTATTTTGAGAGATGCTTCTTTGCTCTGTTCCTCTGGAAAATGTTAAAAACATATCCAACACAGAGCAAGCCAGAGAAAGATTCACATTTTATTGTTATGCTCCAAGCAAAGCCCTGCTTGTAAAATACATCACTTGTTGACATAAATACTGTGAATTAAATCCTAGTAAAGCTTCCAACTCACAGGTTATTTTATATCATCAGGTATTATTTTGTATCATCAGATCTGGAAAGAAATCTTCAAATAACATGAACCAACTAAGTAATGCAGACTGCAGTGTGGCTACACCAATATGTGGCAACTGGGAATCTAGACCATCATTCCACCAGTAATGAGTATACTACAATAAGTAGAGGGGTATTCTTGGTAATTGAACAGGCTGTTCAGCATCCATTTTTGTGATTCTGTCTCAATTACATTCAATGAAAGTCACTTTATTGGTGTGAGAGAGCATTCAGTAGCTGCCAAATTTAATACTTGAGGATCCACAGAGTAAGCTTTTGGTACTAATGGGATTTTATAGAACATAACTCTGTGTCTTGTTGCTGTCTCTATCTTTCTGAAGATAATTTAGAAGAGTCTGGAACAAAGGAAAAAGGGTATTTTTTTTTGTATGAATAGAACCTAGAAAAAAGGAAAGAAAGGTTGCTAAAGGTTCAAAGATCAACTGGAAGTTCAGCAATGAACCGGTTTAAGTCTAACTGAAGCAGATAAATGAATGACAAAAACAGTGCATAAAAGTTTGTTTTAAATTCCAGAATAAAATTTTTGTTTAACCTCTTCACACATCCTTTGCATTTGTCAAGAGAAAAGAACCCCTCACTTCAGGATTACTTTCTAATGGGAAATTTAAACCTAAATATCCCCTGGAGTCAATGTTTAATTGTACAGTCAGCTATGAAATACCCAATACACTACAGGTCAGACAACCTCAAAGGTTCTGAATCAATAAAGTACTTCAATCCACATTTATACTTTGAAATATAATTAACTACTTCACTGAGCAGTAAAAATAGCACATGTTTACATGCCTTGCAGCCCGACTTTAAACAAACAAATCTCAGTTTCACAAGAGTTATTTGTCACAGATTCATCACACATAATTTAAATCATCACTGGAGTACGTAAATTGGAAAACTAGCAATGGTAGGATCCCTATAACGATAATAGAAAGAAAGAAAGAAGACCTGTAGGAGGTGATAAATGTCCAAGATGATCCGGTGGCAAATCCATTTCTAGTCTATATAATATCAGAGTTTAAGTCCATGAAAAAATTACCAATAGGGAAAAGAAATTCAAAGTGTATATATAGAAAGCTATCCAGACTCCTGTTTGTAACTGAAAAACTATGGAGCTGCCTACTAAGAATTTATGTGAACATTTAAATCAACTATATTTAAATCAATTACTAAATCTGATATTACTTGGAGTACAATTTTGATATTGACCACTTATATTTTAAAAAATTACAGGACATTTAGGTTCAGAATTTGAACTGGAAAGAAGACATTTTTTTAAAAGTTGAAATTACATTTTAAGAAACTGGCTGAAATTCATCCTATCCCATGACAAATGCAGGTTATACCATATCAGCTTAAACCACATCCCAATTAACTCCACCAGATGAATAAGGTTTTTTTTATAGTCTCTCTATAAGATTCCATTTAGTATTCAGAATAGGAACAGTTTCTTATTTTTTTTAAGTGATCTTCATTTGCATGCCATTAGTTGATCCAAGCATATTTATATTTGCTCAAGGGCTTTTGAGTAAAATACTCTAGCATTTCCACTGCCTAAATTCCACTTTTTTGGTTTTCCAAGGCTTTCTCTTGTTGTTAGTTTTGGTTTTGTTGGGTTTTTTTTTGGTTGGTGGTTATGGATAGTTTCTTGGTCGGTTGTAGATTTTATTTTGTTCTGGGGTTTGGTTGGTAGCTTCTTTAAAAAAAAACAAAAACAAAAACAAAACACAAAACTCTGATAGGAGATTTTCCAAATTCTTCCATTCAATTTTATAAAGTAAACAGAGTAAAGATAGATAATATTCATTTCCCAGTGGTGTTTGTAGATTTTCTGGTGTGTGTATCAAGGACTCACTACATGAACTTGATTATACAATCAGTCATACTGATTTTTCATATAAAAGTTAACAGTTCCATTTGAATCTGTCATGCTCACTCTAAGCTTCCTCACATTAAGACTTGTATTGACTTACTCCATAAATGTTTACTAAACATTGTATCAGAATGGTGGAAAGTTAAAGCGAATAAAATTAGCTTCTTTTATACTAATCTAAACCAAAATTAACTCCACTTTAACTAAGAGATAAGTATTAACATAAAAAAAAGGCAAAAGTTATGTCAGTTTTAGATAGTGACAATAATTGAATTCAGACTACAGTAGATCACTGTACATTGCAGTCTGACCTCTGAGTGGCAATTTCCTTACTCATCTTAGGAGGACTAGACCTGATATCTGATACCATATTTTTATATTCTTTTTAAAGGATTCTTTTTTAAAGGATTCATGATAAATTCATTAGTATTTTCCATGCATCTCAAATCCATTTCATTTATTATAAAAGTTTTAAATAGTTTAGCAGAGGACGCTTCTTAAGTCCTTCTAACTCTTTTTCATCTGTTATTAAAACATGATAAATTCAAGAAGAGTAAAAAAAAAAATACAAAATGCATAAATGCATGCTTAGCAGTACAACTAATTAGTTCCTTACCTCCAAGTTAAGTTTTGCTCAACACCATTATTGCTTGTAGGGCGGCAGTATGCATAGTTTCAGCAGAAATAGCCTCATGAGTACAATAAAGTTGCCTTGACG